GGAGGAAGAACTTGTTGACTGTGAGGGTGGCCGAGCCCTGGCCCAGGCTGCCCAGGGGGGCTGTGGAGTCTCCTTCTCTGGAGATCTTTAAAGCCCGCCTGGACAAAGTCCTGTGTAACATGCTCTAGGAGAACCTGCTTGAGCAGGGGGGTTGGGCTGGGTGATCTCCCAAGGTCCCTTCCAACCCTTACGATTCTGTGATTCTGTGACCTTCTGTGCTTGATTCAAGCAATATGTGCTTTCACCGTGGGACTGATGGTTCTGGACTCAAGTCCTCCCAGTGACCAGTGCAGGAGTCAGCTGTGTTACATGCACACTCATTAATTAACGAGCTCTCATGACCTCTTGTCTGTGCACAGTTCACCGTTGCTCTTTTAACATTTGGTCCTTAAGTCGCTGTCTTCCTGTGGTGAAAACTTTCCAAGGGAGGGAGGAAGGAAAGCTCAGTAAGAAATAAAACCTAACGCAGCATGACACATGCCTGAGCTTCTGCCCTGGAGCGTTACTGGTCTTCAGGGCGAGGTTAACGTATTGCTGTCCCCTGGCGCTTTGTGTTTCTCTCGCAGCCAAGGCGGCCAGAATCGGCATATTGCCCAAATGACTTAGGTTGTCGTCATCGGTCTTGTGCTCACGGCTTTAGAGAGAGCCCAAAAACTTGTACCCCTAGGATAGCTGCAACACAGCTGTGAACAAGCTAAAAATGTACCTAAAGGCCTCTGCAGGTCTCGTTACTGGTGTCGGCGCCGGGATCGCGAGCGCCCGTTGCTCGCAGTGCTGATGCCCGGATAACGTCTTGCCCTTGGCCTCTGCTTTGCAAGCCTAGCTCTCCACCAGTGCAACTGGGGCTTGCAAGAAACTCCCAGGAAGCAGAAAAAAGTTAAATTGGTGACGGAGCATCTCCTCTTGGAGTGCCTGGCTGTTTTTTGGACTCTCTGGATCTCTGCACGTTGCAGAGGTCGGCCCAGGGCACAGCTTGTCCTCCAGGCTGGGCCAAACGTTCCCCTTGGTGGGTTCAGTGCTGCAATAACCGCTAATAAAATACGGGTGTGCAGTAATTTAGTGCTGTAATGTGGGCGAGCTACCAGAACTTGCGTGTCCCGCTGAGCTCAAACAACCCAAATTTTAAAAGGCGAATAGATTTAATTCAGTCTGTGATGAGCAGAGGCGAAACCACCAAATCCCTGTGCAATCGCTTGGTGTACCTGGGGAACGATACGATACCTACGGAATGAACCGGTTTGGGAACGGAATAATCTCCCTCCAGAGAGGATAATCCCACCATGTAACAGTGAAAGAAAGGAGGGACGTGCAGAGGAGACTTCTGGTGTGGAGAGAGGCAAATGTAATGAAACGAGGAGGCTTCCTCGCTGTATGGTACAGCAGCTGATGTTGGGTCATTGCGAAAATTTTGCAGAAGGATGTCTGGTAAGGATGCTGTCTGTGGATTTTTCTGCTCAGATTCCTGGTCATTTAGATTGGTTTGCTGCAATCCATAGGGCACGAAGCCTCGGCTCATCTAGCCCTTGGCTTCTCTGGGTACCTTGAGATGCCTTGGGGGGTAATAAAAGCAACAGTTAAAATACTGAAGCTCCTGGCAAATACTACGTGATGGTAAACATCCCGTTCCTTGGCATTCCATTTGTGTACAAAATCAATGTTACAAGGCAATGCTCTTTTTTTTCTTGTCTCATTTTGCTACTGACTGCATTTCTGAATACTTTAAAACACAATCTTGTCGAGTACTTCTTTTCCAATTTCCAAAATTTTGTCTGTTTTCAACGTAACTAAAATGACTGGTGGAACACGGGACAGGCAGAATTTATTCCAGCTTTGTGGGTGCTTGGAAGTAGGATGTTAAGCTCTTAAAGGCAAGTGAGCAGCACGGAGCTCTGTACCGCAGCCTTTCTGGATTTCAGTCTTTGGTATCGGACCCCCAGGTGCCGGGGTTGGCACGGGATGCCTTCCAAGGACAGTTATGTGTGCGAGGAAAACTTGTACTATGCCTTGGAAACCAATAAATTCAAAAATGTCCTTTTTGGCCATACTGTCCTGCTGGGCTCCCCCTCCTTTAGACACCTCTGGGTAAGCGGAGGGAGTCGTCGTGGATGGTAACTAGTAAAGCACTTTGTTTGTCTGAACTCTTGGATCTAACTCGTAACTGATGGGTAAGTTGTATAATTCATTAGATCGCTGCAGCTGTGGGGGTGGGATGGCTACCAGCAAGCTCCAGGGGTCCTCATCAAACCAACGTCAAGACCGGGGCAGGTGTGTGTGTGTCTGTATATATATATGTATGTATGTATGTATAGTCACTATTGGCATCAGGCTTTCTGCTGTCAGGTCTGGTTACCAAGGACTTATATGTTTGTGTATATACATGTGTGTATATATATGTATGTGCATATACACATATTTCACACAGATGTGTGTACGTATATATATCTAGGTCATTATAGGAGGAGGGAAGCAGGAGTTAGGGAAGTGATGCAGGAGCAGGGCAGTGCCCCTGTGCTGGGCACTGGGGGGGCCGCCCCTCAAATGCTGGGGTCAGGGTTGGGCCCCTCCCTCCCTGAAGGACCTGGGGGGGCTGGAGTGTGTCCAGAGAAGGGCAGCGGAGCTGGGGAGGGGTCTGGAGCCCCAGGCTGCTGGGGAGCGGCTGGGGGAGCTGGGGGGGTTCAGCCTGGAGCAGA